GATTCAGCCAAAAAAAAACAAAACCAAAAACAAAAAAAAACAAGGCTGGTGCAATTCACTTGGCACGGATTACCAGAAACAAATGGCAAGAAATCTGCAGTGCCAACAAACCACATCAGCACCCCCGGGAGACAGGAATGCAGCAGCTGAGAAAGAAAAAATTCACTTTTTTGGGAGCACTTTAGGCCTCATTTGAACCTGCAGGTTCAAAAAGGGAAAAGTTGCTACCAAGCCATGATATGTGTGTTTTCAAATTTCGGATTAGAAGAGGCACCATACAGATATTCCTAAAGAGTTGGATCATTTTTCCATAATGGAAGAGGATCTAAAGCCTTCATCTTGCAGTTTTTTGTTTTTTACTTTTCACCATCAGCAGTTTCTTAGGGAAAAAAAATCACATCACAAAAAATCACATCACTCCGGTTTGTGCTCATGGGTTTTCCAAAGCCACCAAAAGCAGAGAAGAGCAACTGCTCCCCTCAGAGACCAACAGCTTTCCCAAAAACACTTCTCTTCCCAAAAACCTCAATTAACCAGCTCCAGTTACAAGCAAAAACGGGAGGGAAAAAAAAGGATTTGACTCTTCCATGATGAAATCCCAGTGGAGCCATCGGTTCTTTACACAAGGAAGATTTTATCATGAATTTCAGCAGAAATGAGCCCAGGACACACCCAGTTCCCAATTCAGAGAGGAGCTGCCCCATTTCCTCCCCTCCGAGGTGAAAGTTCTGCAAAAACTTAAAAACTGAGAACTGCAAAAATTGGAGCTGCTCATTGTGGAACAGAGAGACCAAAAACCCTCCCCAGGGCTGCCCAGAGCTCCCCAACCACCCCAGCCAGGAAACTCCTCCATGATTTTCCTAAAGACTTGGGTCACTTTTCCATAACGGAAAAGGATCTATAAGCTTAATCTGGCAGGTTTTGGTGGGGTTTTTTTGGGTTTTGTTTTGTTTTGTTTTTTACTTTTCACCATCAGCAGTTTCTTAGGGAAAAAAAACCCCACATCACTCAGGATTTTTCCTCTAGAAAATACCACAATATTTTCCACACATGTCAAAGTCGGAAAAAGGGCAATGACCATTAATTTATTCCCAGAAATGCTCAGAGCAAATTTCAATTTAATTAAGGAAGGCAAAAGCACAATGGGCTACTTGAAATTAAAGGCTCGTTTACCTTTATAAGCCAATTCAAAACATCTAAGCCACCAATTTGTAAATAATTTTAGCTCAAGTTCCAACAAATCAATTCACTGTCAACTAATTTATATCACTAGAGGGATCGAAAGTTTTTTTAAGGAAAAAAGGAAAATTTTTACCTCAGAATGTGAAGGGAAGCAGCCTCAGAGCCCAGTGCTGAGCAGAGCTGGAGCCTCCCCTCGTTTGTTCCACATTTTGAGATAAGTTATCAGGATTTCATCTGAAAAACCTCCCCATTTGCATAACTGGCAGCTCAAGAAACCTCCAGCTCCTCAGCACAGACACTTGTCTGAGCTGGGATGGAATTCTTCTCATAATACACTTCATTTTTAATGTGCTAGAGGCATTTTAGGACTTAGACAAGTCTTTCCTTTTGGATGGATCCACAGGGAGTGTCAGATTTTCCAGGAGAAAACCCACCTGAGCAAATTCATCTACAGAAGTGTCAGGAGCTGCTGCACAAACTGCTCCAACAAAATCCACAAGTTTTGCATCTTTTGCAGCACCAACATTTCATCCTTAACCAGTTCTGATCTTAGTCCAAAGGGAGAGCTGTCCTTAAATTGAAGCCTGAATGATCTACTCAGCAATTCTTGCCCCAAAATCACGTGCAGGTCCTGAAATTGCTTGCAAGGGTGGCTTGACGAGGTAAATAATAAATTAAAGCTGATCAACTGCCTGATGCTCACATCAATAATGCATGCAGGTTGCATGCACACCAACCTGCCACCAGACTGAAGAAAGAAATATCAGCATGTCTTAATAAAAAACAAAACAAAACAAAACAAAACAAAAAAATAAAATAAAATAAAATAAAATAAAATAAAATAAAATAAAATAAAATAAAATAAAATAAAATAAAATAAAATAAAATAAAATAAAATAAAATAAAATAAAATAAAATAAAATAAAATAAATAATGCAGCTGTGTGCTGGGTTCATGGTTTATAAAGGTAAATAACTTCATTACCTGGCTGGCAAATGATGGCTGAGGGGTAGAAGAGGAGCTGCCTGCATCCCTCATAAAAACCATCCTATTTATCATCTGTACAGCAACCTTGAGGTTTGGACCATCATTCTTTGAGCAAGGACACGTTCCAGGGACAGTCCCACCCCCAAAAAATCGCCTTCCTGCTCTCTCACCTCGAACACAGCAGTGGCAGGGGCAGGAGAGGCTCTCACAGCTGTCCCTGGGCTTTAATGGAAGGAAAAGAACATTTTCCCTCCTCTCTGGCAGCTTTTAGAGCCCCAGCAGGTAAACAAGGCTCGCAATCACCCAGGCTGTTAAAAACTAACCAGCACGTGGGAGTTTCCGCTGAGAAAAGCAGAGCTGGAGCATTAGAGACAGGTTTGGAGCGCAGAAAAAGGTGTGTTTATTCACTTGGATGCTCGCTGTATGCTAATGGTCACAGAGCTCTTGCTGGGGGCCATGAGAGCAGAGCAAGGAGCAGCTCAGCTGGAGCACAGGCTGCTCCCTGCCAGCTGGAACTTTGCTGGGATATCCCTGCCACCAGCCAGGTACCTGCCCACGGCGGGGGAGAAAAGTTACCAGCTCCAAAAATAAAATTTCAGCAGCTTGATGGTAGCTCAGCCAGAGAAATGGAGTGATTTGGAGTAAAATTGTGTTTGTTTCTGTTTATTTCTCCAGTGGCCTGATGGCTGCTGCATTCACCAGGTGGAATTTGGGGATTTGCACAGCTCGTGGGATAGCTGCACTCCCAGCACAGGGTGGCACACCTTGGGGTCCCTGTGGCACCTGGGCAGGCCTCTGCACACCAAGGGAATGGGTGAAATGAGAGCTTGGGCATGACCTGCTGCACAAAACCCCCCACGCTGTCCCTGCTGCCCTCAAACAAACGGCAGGTGGCACAGAGGTGACATCTGTCACCAACAGCAGTGGCACAGCCGGACAGAGCAGGTGCTCTCCCTGACCCTGCCAAAGCAGCAGGAGCAAACAGCAAATCTGTTTTATAAAACAGCACATCTGTTTTATAGGAAAACAGCTTCTTGCCCTACAAAAGTTGCGTTTCACTCAAAGTTCACACAGCAAATTTTACCCCACGGCTCTGTCAAATGAATGCCACAAACCCCCTCAGGGTTTATCACACTCCCCACGGATTCTGCTCCTCTGGGATGATCTCTGCACTCTGCCAGCCCACGGGCTCAGCACAGTGACCAAACTGGGCTTTTCCACCTGGCTGGGAGGGAAAATGCCATTTGAGAACGCCGTGTTTCCCATGGCACAAGGGGTGGATCTGGAGCACGGAGATGTCACACTGGCACTGGTGTGCTAATGCCACCTGAGACATCACACTTCACCTTCTTTCCAGGCGCTGCTTCAGAAACATCACCCAAAAATCCCTCGGAGATGAATCAGCAGGAAGTTCTCAGCATGGCAACAAATGTACAAGGAAACGTAGCTCTTTCTTCTACCTTCACACCTCAAGCAACGTGTCTTGGCCTGCCTGAAACTCATTCATCATCAGGAAACCCAAATTAAGTCCTCAGCTGAAGGATTGGATACTTCATCCTCTGAGTTTCTGACCATAACTTCGATATTGTGACACATCAGCATGTGCCTCATGCATTATCCTTCCCATTTTGTGTGCTGTGCCTAAATCCCTGCTTGCACCACCACTGCTACATGAAAATCAGAAATATTTCCTAAATCAGAAATGTTTCCTAAATCAGAAATATTTCCTAAATCAGAAATATTTCCTAAACCAAGAGATGTTGTTCAATGTTAACTTGCTGAGATGGCATCCTCAATGGCACGCATTCATTGATGAAAGTTCTTTAAAAATTAATAAGCTGACAGTGACCTTGCTAAAGGGACCTGATGAAAGAAAAATTATCAGCTAATCAGAGTGGATATTCAGAGCTCTGCCCTGTAAACACTCCAGCACCACAGCAGGCAGTGAGTCAGTGTGGTTTGGTGGGTGCAGAAATGCTCAAGGTTTCTCTTTTTCTGGAAGTGCAGCACATCCTTTAAACACAACCCCACAGATCAGCTGCACAGGAGCTGCGAACAGTGGAAGAAAACTTGGCCCACACTAACTCAGCCCAAGGGTTTATAAAGTAGTCATTTCTTGGAGAAATCTTTAAAGTGTCTTGTGTGTTTGGGGCCTTCAGGAAAGGCAGATTGTTAAAGAAGAGTTAACTCCACTGCATGTGGGGTGCCCTGCAGAGGGTTATGTAAGGTGCAGCTTTATCACCGTGAGGCCACACAAAACAATGCCTGGGCATTAACTCCCTGTGCTGACAGGCTCTTGGAGGCTTTGGGAATGATTTGTGCCCTTCCCAGCCAAAGGACTGTGTGACTTTCAGGTCTGGAAAGCTGCCAAGCACTGAGCCCAGCCATCTTGACACACAGACCCACTGTGCTGCTTGGTGTCTCTCTTTGTCCCGACACTGAGCTCAGGATCTCAAGGGAAGTCTCAGTGGTAGGAACGAGCATCACCAGAAAACACTGGCAGAGGTTTGGCATCATCAGAGAGGTCACTCCCCTCTCTCAGGGTCTCCTCGGGACACCATGGTGAGGTTAAATCTTCTCACCACTGGGCTCTGTGTCACCTGGAGGACCACGAGCAAGGACACAGCCTTGCCCTGCCATTCCCAGACAGCTCCCAGGCCTTCTCCTGCGGCACCAGCACATCCAACCAACACCACGCCACATTCCAGCCAACGGGCGAGGACAAAGTCCGGGAAGAGGCACATCCAGGGGAACAAGAGACCCTTCCAGCAGAGCCTATTTTGGGCAGCATCACCTCGGGAGCAGGGAAGGGGAGCGGCCAGAGGACCTACCTGCTCTCACTGCACTCCTTCTTCTCTCGGACGCGCAGCCACTTCCGAAGGAGGAAGCGCTTGCGGCGCGGGGAGGCACTGGGAGTGGAGCAGTTGGACCAGGGGGTGTCCTCGTCACTGGAGGGGGTGATCTCAATGGACGGGAGCTGCAGGTATTCCTTGCTGGAGGAGGGAGACTCCTGGAACCCGCCGGCCTCCAGGCTCTGCTCCTGCACGTTCTTCATCCTCCTCATCTTGAAGCGCCTCCTGCGCAGGGTCGGGGTGGAGGAGCTGGACCAGGCGCAGCCGCCCTCCAGCACCTGCTGCTCGGGGACCCGCAGCGCCGGGAGCCGCAGCGCTTCTGTCATGTTGGCAGCTGGCATCAGACGCCCTTTCTCCTTCTGCTCCCACCCCCAGGCACTCGTAGCTGTGATCTCGGCGTAACCCACACCACCACAAAGGCGCAACTCGCCTTCCTCCTTCCTCCTCCCTCCGGGCCGGCACTGCCCTCCCTCCCTCCCTCTCAAGCAGGAAACCTCATGTTCTTCACGTGCTCCCATTGAACGAGCAGCGCGGTGGGAGGGGATGGCCGGCACACACACATGGCACAAGGGAAGCCAGCTTCAAGTTTCTTTTCTCCTTCTCTCCTCTACAAAAAGTCCCTCCCCTGCCCTGCCTCTCGCACTGACACAAGGCTTGGCCGGATTTCAGCTCCCTCCCCAGCCCCCCTGTGCCTTCTGTTGGCTCAGCAAAGGAAAAGTCTCCCGGGGCTGCTCTAGGAAAACTCGGCTGCGGTTCTTCTCGGGAGACGAGGCAAGCATGGAGAGGAGCGGCGAGGAGCTGTGGGGAGGGCAGAGAGAGAAACAGAGGGGAGGGGAGGAACAAGGCTCGATAAAAATCAGGAAAACGAGCAGCAGCAGCAGCAGCAGCAGCAGCAGCTTGTGCTGTTTGTAGCGGGCAGCTGTCGCAAGTGTAACCGCGCTGCTAATCCCGAGGGACAGGGTTTGTGTTACCGAGTGCGCTGCTGCCACAAATCCAGGGAAATCCAGGGAAATCCAGGGAAAGGGAGCGGGAAGAGCCTCCTGGAGGAGCCACTTGGGCTGGGCTGTCCTTGTGTCCCACCTTCCTGCTCAGTCTGCCCACCCGAGAGGGAGGCAGCGAGCGAGCGGGGACTTTCAGCCTTCTTTCACAATAGTTTCTCCTTTTTTTAATTTTTCTTCTTTTCTTTTTTTTTTTTTTTTTTTTTTTTTTTTTTTGTGTGTGTGTGTGTTTGGTTTTTTCTTTTTTTTTTTCTTTGTTTTTTTGGTTTTTTGGTTTTTTGGTTTTTTGGGTTCTTTTGTCCCCTTTGACTATTCGCCAAAGGAGGAGAGGGATTGATATGAGGAACAGCCAAAAAAGCAGCAGCAGCAGCAGCAGGTGGCAGCAGAACTGGTCAGGCTTTTAGCTCAGTTTCACGCGAGTGAAAGCTGATTTAAAAGAGTTCTCTGGGGTGATGCTGCTTCCAAAACGCCCGTGGGGGAGGGAGGGGTGAGGTGCAGGAACCCACAGACACCACACAAGGACAGCGACATGTGCAGAACAGGTTTCACCCCGGGGCAGAGGCGCTGCAGGGAAAATTCTGAGACATCCACAACCCCAAGGGAGCTGCAGCCACAGGACAGGATTGCAAAATTCTGGTGACGAAATCAAATCACGAGAAATGTTGTGACAGATTCTCCATCAGTATCCTCTGAATTTCGCCCACTGATCCTGCACGAGGCCCTCTTTTCATGTTAAAAAAATAGGAGAGAAAATTAAAATCCTCTAAGGCAGTGACTAAAAATCAGCTGCGTGAATTTCGAACGTGCTCAATCTCAAAAAAAAAAAAAAATCAACACAAAAACATCTCTAAATCAACCTGACACAGCTTCAGTTTTCATTGTTCAACAGCCTGAACCTTTAAAAATATTAGCTTCAGGTTAGAAAATATTTGTCAACCCAAATCAAAATAGTTATTCTTGCAGGGACTGCCTCGGTTTTGTTTGAAAATAAACTTCACAGGAACTCTGAACATCAGAAACTGCCACGTAGGACAGAGCCAATGTGTCAGGAAAGGAACAAGGGGAAGGAAACATTTCAATCAAATGACAGAGCAGTTTAAGTGCTCAAGTGCTATATTTAATTTCTGCACTGTCCTTTTCCCTCCCCTCATTCTGTAAGTTAATAGCTTGACAGCTCTTCAGCTGGATTTCTGGAGAATCTGTCACCTTGGTATCCATGCACCAGGTGCACACACACAAACAGAATGCCTTCCACAAACACCCACTTAAAAAGAGAAACTCAAATAAATGTGCTTTGTTGTTTTCTTTTTAAGTCCAAGAAGCAAAAATCTACAGTTCAGACAAAATGACAACATTTCAAAAGTAGCTTGGGTAGCTTTGCATCTTCTCTGATCCTTTTTCTCCCACATCTTGCCATGATTTCTACCTTGTCACCACACAGTCAGAAGCATTCCTGGCTACCTCATAATGCCAAAAATAACATTTCACCGTCTTCGCGTGGCTCTGGCAATCACACCCCCATAGCGTCACTCCTGAATTTCAACCAAGAGAACGTGAACCTTCCCAGAACCGCCTCCCTGCCCCGGGGAAGGCACGAGCAGCCCTTTGGAGGCTGTCCTGAAGGTTTCTTCCATGCGTTAATGAGTTTGATCTCCCGTGGAATCTTTCACCAGCTGCACAAGAGCCTCATTTAATTGCAACAAGTACAAATGAGGGTCAAAGCTCTGGTGTGTTCCTTTAGCACAGCGGGCATTGCAAACCCTCAGAATGCCCACAGCAATTGTCTAATTAATCCACAAGAGATTCATCCAGCTTTGGTAATCCCTTTGTTAGCCAAGGAAATGCTGGTGCTGTCACCAGGCTGATTTTTCACCCTGATCCCCACCCAACTCTAGCGGAGCCCACTTGGAGAAAAGACCTTTTCCCACCTTCTTTATGCATGAAATAATTCTCTGTACCCGGGTGTGGGAGCCCAGCTCATCCCTCTGGCTGCCCTGGATGTCCCCAGACCCTGGCACAAAGTCAAAAACACCTGTGGCTTCAATTTTAGCCTGTGGAAAAAACTGCCAACTCTGTATGAGGAATTACAAACCACAAGGGTTTGAGTAGTGTGGTAGTTGAATTAACAAAGGGTGAAAAAGTAGAATTTTGGTGCTTTTTAGAATGGGATTCAAGGGGACAAGATAGAGGGATTTGGGTGTGTCCTGGCCTTCTTCTCCTTCTCCTTGCCATCCATGCCTTGGTGTGATGGTGACACTTTTCTGTTGGTTTAAGGTACAGACACACTGTCCAACATAAATGACATATTGGCAGGTTATTGTAAACATGGCACAGGTAGTTTTTGGTATAAAATGCAAACACCGCCCTGAGGGCAGACAGAATGCCATGGCCGAGCTGCTGGACAGAGCTCAGCAGGTCAGAGAAAGAATGTTCTAGATAAGGGAAAATAAACAACCTTGAGAAGCTGATCCTGCACATTCAGACTCCTCCTTTGGCTGCACGGGCTGGGAAATGAGGACTTTTACACTCCTGGGGTCACCCCAACACCCAGACCCCGGGAGTCACCAGCACTGCCCCTTTAACTCCAGGCGCTCCAGGGATCAGTGACCAACCCTCCTTTGAATTCCCAGCATATTTTTATCTGGAGAAGGGATGCACCTGCCTGATGTCCTGAGAGAAGCTCTGCCATGAGAGCCAGCTCCAACACCTGACCCAGAGTGAGAGATTCCAGCCTGAGCAAGAACTATTTCTGTCCCAGCCAGGCAGCAGCCTCTCCCAAGCCTCGGGAAATGACTTTTCCTGCACTTTAATGATCCACCTAACCATGGGTTTATTCCAGAAACAAATGGTTGTCGATGCTTCAGGTTGATCAATCCTTTGTCCTCCTCAGACATTCTGAGTGCTCCAGTGCTCTCAGAAAAGGGATTGCAAAGGAAGCAATTAGGAAAGAAAAATATCCAATAACAATATTAAAATCCCTTCCCTGAAGGAAGAACATGAAGTAATGGCGGCCCAGATTCTTTGGCAGACCTTTCCATAAGGGCTTTCCCATGGGTTCAAGGGATTGAAAAATGGGAGATGAATACAGAGTAGGAGCTGGCACTGAGAGTACACGGTAAGAAACCAATTTTATTAATTAAAAGCAGTTCTTTTCATGCACAGGAAATACACTACAGTGTCTTCAGAAGTTGAACTGAGTCAGTCCACATCTGGCTGCAGAAGCTCTGCCAGGCCAGGCAGGGAGACTGGAGCACTCACAGCCTGGGAAGAACTCAAGCAGAATTCCTCTTTTTCCCATAGTTCAACATCATTTTCCACTTATTTCCCTTCCTGTGCAAGCAGCTGAGAGTGGCAGGTTCATCATAAGGAGCCTGCTACTCAGGCATGACCCTGCTTAGTCAAAATTATGATTTTAAAAAGTTCAAAAACATGCAAGGAGTTTTTGGGTTTTGTTTATTGGTTTGTTTGGTTTGGTTATTTTTTTGGGTTTTTTTTTCTTTTGTTAGTGTTTTTTTTTTTGTTGTTTTTGGTTTTGTGTGTATTTTTTCTGGTTTTTGTTTGTTTGTTTGGGGTTTTTTGTTCTTGGTGGTGGTGGTGGTGGTAGTTGGAGGATTTTGTGATTTTTAAATGAAAACCCAATACATTTATCCATATTTACTTTCACATTCTAACCTCCTTCTGCAAGAACACCTGTTCTATTTGGAGCTGGATCTCAGACTGGGACTTCAGCCACATTTTGCTCTTTGCACATTAAATTAGACGAGTTCTATTACAATTTGACAGACGAGAACCTGCTGCAAGCAACTCACACTGAGAAAATTCTCATTTCGGTGCCCCCCAGCTCTGCCCCTCAGAGGGTGCCCTCCCTGCCAGCAGCTGCTGTCCCTTGCTTTGGGCTGGGTGACACCTGATCCCTGCACGTGTTGTTTTCTGGAACCCCAGCGAGGCAGATGACACTAATTTCACAGGCAAAAAATACCAGTGACAGTCTGGGACACAGAGAGGTCCACACATTCCTCTTCCCAATTCCTCAATTCCAGTTGAGGCTCATGCTTGCCTCAGTTTTTCCCTCCTCGGTGCAATATTTCAGTCAGAACTCCATTCAGGGGGAAAATCAGCTTTTGGATAAATTCAGTCAATTCTTTCTGCTATAGAACTTGTATTTAACTGGGTTTTGGCCTCTGAATAAAAAGCAGATGTGCACATCCTTCTACTCCCAGTGCATCACAGGAGGGCACCCATCCCAAAAAATTTGGAGCAGCAACTCTCAGCTCCTACTGGGATCACAGCCTTGCCACCCCCACCCTTGTGAGTAAAAATTTGTGTCCAATCTCTGCTGTGAGAGCCACAACTTGATGAATATTTATTCCCTCACATATTGGTCCCTGCCCATTTTAACAGTACTTAAAAAG